TACACAATATGTGATTTAAAATGGTTTTTGTGATACATGAAATTCCAGAGTTTTTAGTCTTCAAAATAACAAAACAGTTTGTTTTTAGAACAATATACTTACGTTTTCTCCGAAATTACGAAATGTGTTACATTAAATAAGATTTTTGTTTAAACCATGTTTAATTGATCCAACAGGATACTGAATCTAGGAAATGTTAAAAACTATATGTTTATTCTATCAATATTTATAACATTTTTAATTTAATTCATAAGATGAGCCAACAAAGAAGTTTATTGTTACTTGAATGACATGTCTTACATAGTTGACCTATAAAACTAGGTGTCTATTGTCCGAGTACATAATACGTTATTCATAATACTTTATTCACATGAAGGATGGTGTTTGTGGATATACAGTAAAGATCATAAATCACCTGAATGTCAGACCAAACTCTGGCAAACATTCCTAGGTGGTCCATGTTGATGCTTTATACCGTCCAAACACAATGTTTCATTATATTTTAAAAGTATGTTTGATAACCAATAACCCATAGTAGGAAAACAAAACATATTTACTTCTAAGACAAACTTTTTCGCTTTCCTTAATTTTTATCATCTTAAATACAGCTATGCTGTTTGTAACACGTTAAACTGTTACCAAGATTTGCACTAATAAATTAGATTACCCAATAACTATAATATAAGTAATAACTATAATAACTGTAAGTTTGCAGGAGCAAACTTCGTCCTACTTTCTAGCTGCATTATCTCACACGAGCTGTAAATTTTACTTGAAAATTAAAATTCATGTTAACGATTGTATAGTTACCATTGTATAGTTACCTCTTATATCATACAGTAAAATGAAGCGAGATTGGTCTAGTGATGTTATCTAGTGTTTACTTGATTGGGTTCAAATCCCGCTAATCACCAAAGACAATTTGCTATGTGATTATTCCATGACCCAAAGACCTTACGTAACATCAACATGATAGAAAGATATTAAAGAAATTTCTATATGTGAGGTGTGTGTTCTTTCTATATGTGAGGAATATGTGAGTTAAGGAGAACTATATATATATTGGAGATCACCCTAAAAAAATCAATAAAAGGATTTAGTGCATCAGGAAAAACTTAAAAGCAAGAAGCGTTGTTTTTAAAATGTTCTTTTCTCGAAAACAAATATACAGTTTGGAATTTTCTCATTGCTTGGTTTAAATATACATATGCTTTTACCTAATAATATAACATGTGGTGTACGTCATCAGTGTTAAAGCCGATATCGACACTGGTTTGATTTTGAGCCTATGTCGTCACATCAGCTATCACCGCTCTAGACGCAATAAGCTAAATACACCAAAGCATCAACTGTGGTGATTTCATTGGACCTAAACTGTGTGATCCCACTTGAGCCGATAACCAAGCCAATATAAAACGAGCTAACTCCATATGCTGTTCGTCTATTGCATTATGTAGGTAATGCGATTTGTTTTGTAATATCTTTCTCATAGTATACAACACCATACAGAATGCATCATTTGGAATTCTATTAGTATGTTTAATTGTAAGCCCAAAATTAATAGTAAGGAGAGTCATTTGTCAGTTCCGCTCATGTCTAAGACAGCGGTCATAAATTAGCCTCGTATCTCCATTGTGTTGTATACAATATCTTGTGCTACGTAGACACATTGATTAAACATAGTCCAACCCACAATATACACAACAAACACCTTTGTGTAAAGAAAAGTATCACTATGTCAATGTCATACACGATGCATTTGTCTATGCATGTTTGAATTATGTTTTTAATTGGTAACATCGGATTTATCATGTTCTAACTTGTATAATTGATGTTATATAAATATTTTAAATAATGCATTGATATAATTCAGTGAAAACGTAATTTTAAATGGTACTAAAACAGTCCTCCAAAGAGCTTTATGTGTTGATTTCGCTAGTTTAGATATTGATTTAGGAAACATGAATCATTCTTTGAGCTAAGCTATAGTTTGGTGTTTTTAATACACACGATTATGAATTATAAGCATAGTATGTTGTGGAATAAACAAAACTGCATATAATTTTCATAATGTTTTAAATAATAAGAAATCAATATTATCATAAATTGATTATTGAAGTCTACGATATGCTTTTTTTAACACTTAACTTTTTTTTAATTTCCTAATCAATACAGAATGTGATTCCAGGCATGTATTAGATCACACTATACTAATTGTATAAGTGGTAGAAGCACAGGAATAAGACTAAATGTAATTTAAAATTTTGTACAAAGTATCTCAACTACAATGATCCGTGCAAAGTTCGCCATACAAATATCTTGACCTACTTCTCCATCTCAGTTCGCAAGAATATTAAAAAGCTATTCTTTATCTTAGGCTTTTCACAAAGAAAAGGTGACGACTTGTGAAGGCTCAATCAGAATAACTTAAGAGTTTCCCAATAATTTTAAAAAGTTGGACTGAAAACTTTGTTATAACATTTATAAACATAATTTTTACTAGTAGATTTTAATTGTGGAAGTCAATGCTTATTGGTATTTTTAACTCGTTTTCCTGCGATATTCATTTAATAAATTAAGATACTAATACTGTTTTTAAAAAAACTAGACATGTTTCAAGTTATATATAATTATAAAGCATTATATAAGAAACTGGAGTTAATTAAGCCCCGTGAAATGCAGTAAAACGTGTTACTACAATATTCTGAACTAGTATTACGGGCTAGTGCCTAGCGTCCTAGGAAAAAAGTTAAAAAACAATCCTTTTTATCAGGATGCACTCAAATAACACTTTTAGAACAGTTGGAAACATTTTGCTTTAGTGGTAAATCGCAAAAACTTGGGTAATGGAGTTTACAGTAAACTGAACCATAAAGTGGTTTTAAGCAAAATTGCCCAAAAGTATGAAGTTGTTCAATAATCCAGCTGAAACTGTTAAATCGGTACAGTAGTTCAAATCTTATGTTTGTACTAAAGAGAACTATTTTAAGCACATTTACGGTAAACATTGTCATTATAGTGAAAATATATGTACTTGAAACGTATTATTAATGACAAGTAGCTATCACAACTAATCGTAACAATATACTTTTAAGATGACAAAAATAATGCACTTTTATTAAATTTATATAATGGAATGCATCTACAGTTTACAAAGAGAATGTACATTTACTATTGGAAACCTATTTGCCAGGATTAAAGGAAAGTATTCAAAAGGAAATCGGAACTTCTCTTTGTTGTCAGATCGCAAAAATATGCAAATGGTTTTCTTCCTTGCCTTCTCTAGAAATAAAAGATTTTTCTTTGTTATAGGTAAGATAGTTTAAGGTTCACACACAGTTTGATATTTGGAAAAATGGAAATCACCAAGTGAAATTTGGTAATTCAATCATTGAATGTAGTACCGGCCAAATTTAGGCCTAACATTCGTCTTTGTAATCTAATTTATAAGTTTAAAATAGAAAATATCTTCACTTTTATACATTGTTAATGATCCAATCAAATTCATATATGATGTTCACACCAAAGCTGTAAAGGTGACCGGACTTCTTTCTCTCTGTAATCGATCTATCAAGAAACCAAAATGATAAGACTTGTAGGTCTTAAGAACTGTACTAGTATTTTGAATAAGCCCTTAACCAAAAAGCCATAAAAAATATCTCCATAAGCCCGAAACACTTATTTAGTAATGCAGCGTCAATAATCAAACATACATGCATTCGTAAAAGAGTTAAATTAATTGTATTTGATATGTATTTTAAACGTATACATCTATCAGATGTATTACACCCATGTTCGTGTTTATGTTCATGTTGTGTTGAGACCACGAATGTGTTTACAGAGGAATGTTTGCCAAGTCTGGCTTGACATTTAGGTGATTTATGATCTTAGTTGGTTCTTCTTTACAGTAGACGATATTTACCAGAGAAAAACCATGAGAAATTCTTCAGCATAGTCATATTTTCGTACTTTTCAACTCTGCTGTCCTGCCATTTTAGTTGATATTTGATTCATGAATAAACCTATACGAAAAAGAGATAAAATTATTTCAATCATTAACAATTCACTAATTGATTTCTATAACTATAGGAGACTAGGATTTGTCACACTTGAAAAGCATAATCATTATAGCAACTACTTATAAGATTTTTGAAATATTATTGAGTCTATATTGAAATTTAACTGTGCAATATAAACATAAGTTGGCTTAATACAGTGTACAGTGTACTCAATTAGTGTCAATAAATTGAGCAGTTAATAAACATATACCATCATAAATAACCACAATTAAAATATTTTAATTGATAAAATGGAAGAATTACCTTATCCAACCACAGTTGCTAGTATGACAACTAGTTTCGTTCCTTAGAACATCGTCAGGTCATTGTAAGCAACCACATCTTCAATGTATGTATGTACATTGTGGTATGTCAAAAGATTTTTTAAAAACACTGTCAGAATCACAATAGTAAAAACTAGTCATGTTGATCAAACTATTAAAATTGAATAAAAAGTGATAAAACTGGTTAAAACTGTAAAGGAATAAAATATTTTAGTGAATTGAAAGTGTTGTATAAAATTTTTTAAGGTCGTGTTATAAAAATACAGTATAACACAGAAAAATAGTTTTGAAGTTGAATGGGTATAGGGAAAGAAATCAAAAGGTTGCCAGTCAGATCCTGAGAAAAGTTTCTAGCTCTTAGATTGTATGAAACTAAGCCCAAGAAAGAATCGTCACTATCAGCTGATCTTGGTCAGTAACAAAGCTACACAGATCATCTGACTCTATTCACCTCAAAGTGCGCACCTTGATTTTATCGATGGATTTACGTTGCTGCTTTTAAGTATTCATAATAATAATTGTAATAATAATTTTTCAGATTTTTTATGTAACAACCTCATTGATCATGACCTTTTTCCAACCATGAAATAAACTTGCAAATTACTTTTAATTGCATCACAAATTTTAAACTTATTTTTCAATTGCATTTATTTGTTTCAGGGATCGATTTGGATGTGAACCTGTAAGGTAATGTTAACTTTTTTACTATATGTGAGTAACATAAGATTATAAAATACCTATTATGAAACATATTTTTACATCCAAGGAACTATTATCTTGAGTTCGTTCAAAATTGCATCAATGAAATAGTTCTAATACAGCATTATGTAAAGAAATTTTGCTATTGTTAAATGTTAAGAATGACGCTTTGAAGCATATTTAGTTAACATCGATGTTTAGGTATTTTATAGATTACATGTATAAATATACAAGAATGCCCACCATGGCTACCAGAATACCATTAGCAACGAACACTTAACATAAAAATAAACTGTAGTATCACAGGTTACTAACTTTGTATGTTTTAAGGGTTGACATCGTTAAAAATAATTTGATAATATATTATTACTTCACATAAGCAGGGGTTTTAACATGCAAAGACTATAAACCGTTTATCAAGCTTCATTCCAAACAAAGATTGTGTGGCAATCATTATGTGTTAAGGCATAAATGATCGTGAGTTTTCCAAATATCGATTTCGCGCATGACAATTTCTAAGCTACTGGAACCCATAAAATAAGTTTACGAGAAAACTGTTCAAAATGCAATCATATAGCGTAGTAATGGTGATGAGCAAAAACCAGTTAAAATACTTTAGGAATCGCATAACGTACGTAACGTGACATTTTATACACTGAAAATACTTTCAGTTTCAATGTTAGACTATATTTTTTAACAACTTTACAAATACTTCTGCCCGAGTAGACGTATTTAGAAATATTTTATTTAATTTTATAATTCTGTAATATACATACAATTTAGTATTTAGTTATGACACGCTAGAACCTCGGGTTTTCTTGTAGATTCCATCGGATTTGCCTAGAATCAAATGTTATTGGCCCAAAAGAAAACGATTCCTAGTTTCAAAGTAGGTTTAAAAAAAAGTTTCATAGGAAAACTCATAGATCCTTTTATCTAGTGTAAATGTTGAAAGTTTTCAAATAAAAACTCATGTCAAGGTACAGGGATAAGGCAATTTTAAAATACTTGTAATACTATTCATTTGACGGTTAAACGCCAGTAGAATGTTTCAGTTAACTAGTAATTAACTTCTTGATCAGCATAGTACAATAAATTATTAAATAACCTAAAATTAAAAAAAATACGACAAACAACTTTAAATAATATTTTTACTCTCAAACTGTTTACTCACAAGACGGTGTGGTTATTTGTGTAGCTAGTGGGCGAAGTGAGTGCAGCAAAGAGAATTTGCACTCGTGTTACACATTATATATTTCCTACAGTTATTATAAAGCATACAAATTATTTGTCTTTCAAACGCTTAACAACATGTTTTAGTTTGGGTTAAATCCAAGCGATGAACGAAATGGGAAACACTGCAACAGCTGATCGTAGTCGTAGTATCTTTAAGTGTTGCCAACCTATTTCCAAGCGTACACGGATTACGTACATAATAAAAGCACGCTGTTTTGTGTTGTTTGGTTGGAATACTGATGTGCAATAAAGTACAGATTGTGCGACAAAGTAAAAAGTGCAGCAATGTTGTGCAGCAAAGTAAGTAAATGCATCAATTAGCAGCTTTCTTTGCTATAATCAGTGCAAGGAAGCCCACTTCGTCTGGTGACTGTAGGAAAAATGCATATAAAAGATATCATACGCCTACTGGGTAATTATGATGATAGGAGTGTTCAATCGTAATCGATCACCACTTACCATATTTTATTCGTGTGTCTTGTGAGTAAACAGTGTAAGTGTAAATATATTATTACAGTGTTATTTGACGTATTTTGGTACTTTCAGCTATCAGACGTTTAAGGAAATCCTGATAAAATTATTACATGAAGAAACGTTAAAATAAATATTTAAGAATTATTTTTGACGAGTCTTTCCTCATCAAGTTTTAACAAGCAGTACAAACTTAGTTTAAAGGCCAGAATGTATTGTTAGACCCAATTTCCCCTTACAACGGTTTCTGAACGTTTTTATATTGAAATATCTCGCAGTTAGTTACTTCTTCATTATTTTTTTAAACTCTTGTCTACCTTTACTCACGAATCTACTTTTATATTACGTTGCCACTTATAAAATTATTATAATTCTAGAATTATTGTTTACTATGTATAAGGGTGTTAGGGAGTATAATAACAAAATCTTGGATGAAAATATGTCATATCTTATATTTCTATCTCATACTCTTCTTTCTTCACTATTATTTCAAGCAGGGAGCATTATCACAGTCTTTGAAATTCTTTTTTCTAACAATTGTTATACATTTTGTTTTGTGAGAATTAGTGACATTTGTGAGAAAACTGACTTCATACGTAAAACACCTTTTTACCCATTTTGAAGTAATCTGGCCAAGATATAAAAAAATGATTTCAAATCTTTTGTTTAGCTTAAATTCTCTACTGGCATTTAAGAATATTTACCGCATAATCAACATTGAGAATAATAAAAAAAATCTTACATGTTCTAATCCAAATTACCAATATATGTGCTAAATAAGCATACATATAGTTCCACGCAATTGATGAAAACTCAACAAATGCCAGCCAATCCTTATTTACCTTTATCATACCTTTATAATACCTTTATCATTATTTATGCTTTTGTTAACTGTCTGCAAAGAACAAAAAGAATACCATATATCTTGGATTTTTTGCCCAATATACGGATTGTTTCGTCCACTCAAACACCCAAATATGTAGATTGTAACACATTTTTTTTTAAGTGGCAATATGTAGATTTCAGTAAACGTTTAAATTTGCTCTATTGATACTTCCAATAGGCTACCTTTAACCTTTTACTGGACGAAAGAGAGTAGGCTACTGTAACATTTCTATCCACCGGACGTTTGTTTCTGGACGTCATCTAAAATTTACAATAAGAAGATAGAATAATATATCAACTGTAAGATGGATAACAAGGATAATTCTGAAAGTGGCGTTCTTTATATTTTTTAAGCAAGGCGAAACAGTTGTTATAATATGGACGTACTTATCATTTACATAATAACTACAGACATTTTATAGGGGACGATAGATAAACTGAAGGGTCTGTCTATATTTCTGGAAAAATTACGTAATTTGTGCTTATAATAATCGTATACATTATTCCAACCCACTTTAGTGAATAAGCAAATTTACTTGCCCATTCAGTAGTTTTAGAAAATACATTTTAAAACTCACTCTCTGACCTTTTACTTTTTCAACGCTTACCTATGCAAAAACCTATATTTTTATATATAATATTTATTCAAATGGCTATTTGCATTTTTCTGTAAATGACAGTTTACAGTGTTTGTGTATTTCAGGCCCACGTCAAGATGGAGCGGTAGCCGCAGTGACGGTGGATGGACCAGCTGACACTCCGGTACACTGAGTTGCTGACGTCACAGGCCGAGGGATCACGTGGTACTGAAGAGGGAGGAAGTAAACATGGCGACGAACGAAACTACAGGGATGGAAATGCTCAATACAGTATGTGCTGCAAGAGTTGTACAAATCCGGAAATGCAAAGAATATTCGCGGGTGAAACTGTGTGCACGGGCAACAGTAGGAAGTTTAGTTGTAGCGGGATACTTACAACGCAGACTGAACGGAAACCCCAAAACGAGTTGTTTTATGAACATTTCAAGGCTGAAAACCCAAAAACTGAAGAAAGGAAAGGCTTTGATGACACTAAGTACGAACTGTTGTGCGATGTATTCGTCATCAGACGCCACAAGTGCCACACCAGGACTCACGGTTGGTGGCGAACTGTGTTGTGTGCGGTGATACTAGCTCAGCTGTGTTTGCTGACGTCATGCAGGACTGTGAGGACCAAGTACGGTGACGTGTCAGGTGTGATAGTGACCCCGGACAACAGGTATCTGGACGCTGTGGAGGTGTTTAAGGGTATACCGTACGCGACGCCACCCGTGGGGAGCCTCAGGTTTATGCCTCCAGTGAGTGGTGCTATGTGGCAGGGCGTGAAGATGGCCAACAGGTAAGACAAAAACCATTAAAAATAATCTTAATACACCTCTATAGGAAAAAGTACTAAGAAGGGGTGCAATTTTAATGCACTTTGCTCCTTAGTAAGAAGGGTGTCTATGTACAGACTAGAGCCTATTAGTTGGATGATGCCCCATATGCACATCTATGACCGATAATTTTAAGCTACAACGTTTGTTCTTACTGGGATTCTTATTCTTTTCTCCGATTATTTTACCATGGAGTGTTTCATCTTCAGATTCAAAACATAGATGACTGTAAAAGATTGTATTTTACAATATTATTTATTGTTACTAGGTTAATTAATAAAATACAATATCAATGTTAATTTTAAAGGTTCAGCCCAGTGTGTCCTCAGTCCCTGCCTGACGTCACCAACGACACGGCGGCTCTCAGGAAGATGTCTAGAGGCAGACTAGAGTACCTCAGGAGGATGATACCCTACCTCAGGAACCAAAGTGAAGATTGTCTCTACCTCAACGTTTATGTGCCTCATGTCGTGTTGGGTAAGCATTATTGTCAATTTATATGCGGTTTCCTGGTAAAAAAAAACTTCAAGGCCTATTTAATATGTAAACTTGCAGTTGTGTTTCTGATTCTTGTGTTTACCAGCAATTTAACTATCCCATTGTTCCAGGAGACCCTCGGGAGCCTGTTCCCTTATTCCCAGTCCTAGTCTACATCCACGGTGACTCCTACATGTGGGGTGCGGGCAGCCTGTACGATGGTTCCGTACTATCCAGCTATGGTGGGCTGGTCGTCGTCACCCTCAACTACCGTCTGGGAATCCTAGGTAAGCTCAATATTTTGGTAGGCAGGTGATATATCTTTATTATTACTTACTTGGGAAACTGTTCGTAATAAGGAAATACAATAAACCTAAGGAACATTGAAGAACTCATCTTAGTGTCTCTTAGTAACTCGATTGAAACTGCAGCTTCGTTGGTGAATTTATTTAAAGCCAAACAGTAGTTTTGTAGTGTAAAATGAATGAACTAAACAGTTTACCACTGACTAAGATCAGCTAATTCTACAACCACTTGTTAAAAGACACCTGGTTCCAGTTTTAAACCATCACAAATAATCGACTTTACTCAGGATCAAACTGGCGACCTTCCAATTGCTAGCAGTTGAACCATTCAATGGCCTATTTATCTGTGTTACCGTTATATGGTTCTATAACAGTTACCAATCACAATACCTAAGATCCTCCAAAGCCCTTGATTGATTTATCCAAGTGGTTCGCCTGGGTTGGCCAGAAAACCACTCATGATCAACGACTTATTGAGAATACTTTTGTTTTTAGTATCAATTTAAAGCAGTGTTTGGGATAATACCCCCTTATACGTAGTATAGCACTACAAACCTTCTTAAAAATAATAAAGGCACAGTACGCTATACAAATATACCTACACATTTTTTGATGAATACTATTATGAAAATATGTAAGCAATTTTCATTCAAAATAGATTATTCAAACCTATTGTGAAGAAAGTGCTAAAACATTTTTTTACGACAGTAATATCTCTATGAATTTTTAAATCCAGGTAATTACGGGAGAACAAGGTATTTAAATGGAAACGAGTTAAGAAGTAATGAATATTAATTGAGTTTAATGCAGGCTGCATTTAAGTCTTCTGTTCAGGTAATTTAGAGAATTGGTATTCTCTCGAGTCCGACTAGTGTCTCTAAGCTTTATTCAAATGAAATCAAGGCGTTTCCAAACTTTGTTAAGACAATTGGCATTCCTTGATTGCAATCAGAGCAAATTATTTTTAATTTGCACTCATCTTAAAATGTTTTCATTTGCTTCTTTAATTGTTCAACGTATTGCAATTGATTTCCATGGATTGCAAATTATTGGGATTTTGTATATTTACTTTAATATAACCAAGTACATTAATTGCATAATAAAGATGTTACGTGTTACGTTGTAGTCTTGAAAAAAAAAATATTATCTAGGTGGAATAATACCAATCTACTATGTGATTAATCATGATTTACAAAATAAATTAATTTAGATTATGAAGCTAAGTAGGTTATAACTTTAATGTTGTTTGTATTGACTTTATTGCTAAACGATATAAAAACAGCAATGTCAAAAGAATAACTAAATTAACACCAATTCTATTCTCATATTGGGAAAGCCATTATTAAAACTGTATGATAAGCATGAATATTAACAATATACATCCCATATAATAATTAAGAGTTAATATACAATTGTTAAAGGGAATGAATCAATAATCTGTGTGGAATAACAATTTTCCTAACTAGGCTATCGAAAAATATTTGTATTTATCTTTTTGCCTTTTATTGTATTATTTTGGCAAAACATCGAATCCATGTAGTAAAATTTATAAAAAGAGAGTTATTAAGTTACATCAACTGTGAGCACTCATAAAATGATTCTAAAAGATTTTGTCTAAAGGATTTTACGTAATTATTCTCTTTCAGGGTTCCTCAACACCAACTCCGGACCGTCCAACTTCGGTTTGATGGATCAGATAGCGGCGCTACACTGGGTTCAAGAGAACATCGCGTCATTCGGTGGTGATCCTAGGAATGTGACAGTGATGGGGCACGGCACTGGGGCAGTGTGTGTCCACCTTCTGGCGACCACCACGGCGGTCACTGAGGGTGAGTGTGGGGAGGGAGGGTAGAAGAAGTTTATGAGATCCAACCCCTTCCTGAGGCCAGTGATTTTTTTTGTGGACGAGAAAAACATAAATATTCAACTAAGTAATGATATATTAATTAGTTATGAGTCAAGTAGATAATGCATTACCCCTTCACCTCTATCTTGCTTATAAATCCCCTACTCACATGTTCCAGGGTCACTATTCCAACGGGTGATACTCATGTCGGGGTCCGCACTGTGTCCCTGGGCGCTGGTCCGTGATCCCCTCAAGTTTGCGAGGCAAGTTTCCCGCCACGCCGCGTGCCCCTGGGACCGCCAGCTCATGACGTGTTTGCGTCAGCGGCCGCTAGAGGTGTTGACGTCCGTTCCAGCTGACCATCCCCAGTTCATCACCGCGTTCGGCCCCAGCGTGGACGGTGTCGTGGTTGGTGGCAGACTCGGTGACGAGGGAGAAGGTGAGGAAATCCTTCAGGTTAGGATGACCTTGATCAATTTCTTCCAAATCAGGTTTCCCAAATTACTTGTTAAATTAAAGGTTTAATTAGCCATTGAATTGACTTACAAAGAATATCTATCGCAGACATAAAAATATGGAAATCGGAAAGACCAACTACAACACTTGTTTGTGGTGAAATACAATGGTTCGTGTAGATCTTGGCCAACCATATGCATCCTGCCATCGTTTTGTCTGACTTGTAAAATCTTTCCAAAATTGAGACATTTTAATTGGTCGTCTTCAAACACTACTAGGAGTTCCCCAGCTGACATTAGCAGGTTCACATATATTAACAATAAAATATGTAACACGTATGTATGTAATACTCACATCTCTAGCTTACTTATAATACTATTGCCATACATTTAATAGTTAGATATGAGACAAATTTATGATTTCAATTAATGAAATGGTTAAATTTCATCTTATCTATACACGTTGTTTGACTTTATAGAAAAGTCATTAAACGTGATCGCTCCCTTTGAATGTTATTCTCTGCTCACAAAGACGAATTTCGATGGTTTGGATTTCCTATGATTCGAAGTGACTGAAGAGCTTTCCTCGATTTGCAGAAGACCTGCCACCAGCCCCACACCATATCCTGGGCCTGCTGCGACGCCCCCTGGTAGCTAGGTTATCCAGGTACCCTCTACTTCTGGGGACAGTCAGACTGGAGTCTTACTTCGCCTTCACAGCTGACGACGTGCAATACGGCGTCGAGCCTGACAGGAAGGCGAGGCTGATGAGAACATTCGTCAAAAACACTTACAGGTGCGTCCACCTTAGTGGTATTGCTTCCATGTGTAATAGTTTTTATCCAAACAGAAACCTGTTGTTGAAGTTGATAACACATTGATGAAACGTATTTTACCACAGGTATCACCAGTCAGAGATCCTAGCTACTGTCATGAACGAGTACACAGACTGGGAACGTCCTGTACAACATCCCATCAACATCAGGGACGAGACTATGGATGCACTCAGTGACGCTATGGTGGTAAGTAGATAAAACACATACTCGTATTACTCTCAATCAACATTCCAAGCCGATTCATATACTGGATTATCATTCTAAGCATGTTTGTGCCACGTATTGATTTATTCTACATTATACATCCGTATATTTGACTCTCACTCTGATATCGCAAAGTTTGACTTATTTCCTAAAATAATCCGTTCTCTGGAGGGTCTACCCTATTTTATACTCTGTGTTATATATCACACCCAGTTTGACTTATTTCTTACTGAATTTCTCAGTTTCAGCTACGTTTATCCTCAACCACATATTATATGAAATGCTAAATGAAGATTAATGTTTTACTTTAAAAATTAAAACGTTTGTGTTCAGGTGGCTCCTATTGTCCAGACAGCAGACCTACACTCTTCAAGTCGATCCTCAGCGTTCATGTACGTGTTCGACTATCAGACTAGGCTGGGCGACTATCCTCAGGTAAATAAAACTAAGTTGTCGATAGACCGAACCTGAGCGAAAACTATTGCTGAAATATAATCCCTAATCCTTTGCTGACTTTTGTAGGTTAAATTTACATGGTAAAATTTAGATTTAATATAGACCTATGAATAAAAAGCTTTCACAAATTTGTCATGTGAGTTATTTTATTTTATTTTATGTATAATCTTAGATTTTGAAATATAGATTCAGAATGTATAACCAAGCAAAACTATTAATGAAATAAAGTAGTTGAACACATTACCGTGGAATGCCCTGAGGGTTTGGGTTGAATAATTTCGTAATCCAAGGGTCAAGCGTCAGAGGTAATTACCCCCAGTTAGTTAGTTAACCTCGTCCAAACTCTTTTCCTCCCTTTCAAACAGTTTTAAAGTAAAATTACCTAGAGCGAGTAAGCTTCTTTTTAAAACTTGGATAATTTTTGACAGATCGTTAAATTGAGATAAATACTATTTAGGTAATTTTAATGTTAATTTTATCTTTATTCTTGTATAATGAGGCTACAAACGGAAATTCTCAGCTATCTCGTTACTTTGTAGTCAAAACTAAAGACATATTAAGAGAATTATTATCTACGAATCTTTGTATAAATTAAATTCCTAACATTTTATGCACATTACCAAGCTCATTTCAAACTTTTGCACCTAGGATGAAACAAGTAGGCTAATTCAGCATCATCTTTAATAATTCATCAATTATGTTTCTGTCAAGCCCCGCTTCTTTTGTAGCAAGGCTGCTAATTATAATCAAATATCAGCCTAAAAGAGACCCCAACACGACTTAACTTAACTAGCAGGCCCTGTTAGTGGATATACAATTATTATCAGGTGTTGCAGCTGAAAAATTTAAATGCTACTGTACCAGCAATCTTATCCTAAAATGCCTGCCATACTGCCCATATCACGTTAGACTTTCCTGAGAATAAAATTTAATTTCTCCTAGGAATTTGCGTTTTATAACGTAGCTGTATACCGGTGCTGCTTCCGCTGCTGCTAGCGGCATGATCATGTACTTACTGACAAATGGTACTTGTAACGTAAATAGAACCATAGATAAAACTAGAACCCTCGTAATTTTGGAATGTTAAATATGATGCAAAGTCAATTATATAACTCAGCGTCTAAGTATTACAGACGTTGTAACTTATTTGTGACAGAAGCAAGGCTGCGTCCATGGAGAGGAACTTCCCTACGTATTTGGGGCTCCGCTAGTCTCCAGTATGATGCACTTCCCTCGGAACTTCACCAAGACTGAAGTGCAACTAGCTGAGATGACCATGGACTACTGGACCAATTTCATCAAGACTGGGTAAGTTCTCGTTCATTAAATAATTTTTCAATGAAACCTTTTCTTTTGGGAATTTATCTTATATAAAAATCTAAATTTTGGTTTTAAATAGTGCCGTAGTTTTAGCTTGAATGCCTGTATCGAGGAATATTTGCAGAAAAAAAGGACAAGAGCTTCCAAAACATCTGTTAAAACTACGAATTCTTGTTTCACCATACCACACAAACACTGATTAATCATTTTGAAAAAAAAATAGAACACTTGATCTGCAGTGAAAACATTATTGTATTACAAAACTTAGTTGTATCAAAGATTCTTTGACAAAATAGTCCTCCTAACTGATGATACACCTGCCATAATAGTATTTGCAAGTTTGACAGCACATAAATGAGCAAAAGCTTTGTTTTTTAGGAGGGTAAAATACCCACCTAAAACTTTTCTGGTGTGAATGTTCTTTTTACACGCTTAAGATATTAATTATTTAAATCGTTCCTGAAACTGTCATGAATGAGACCTGTGCAAGAAAATGAACTAGGATTAGTCATCAGAATAAATGCAGTAAATTTGATGTGAATGTTTGGTAAGAGTCAGGAAAATCTAACTGAATAATCCGTTAAAGCTGTCCTCGACTGCATCCCTCTAGATAGCCCAGGTTTAGCATAACCATGCAATATACATTGGCATTGTGCTTCGATGCTGTTGCACCTGCAAAGCATTACCATAGTATTGGTCTTGCATTGAATATGCCTCGATTATACTGTATCAATATCCCATTACCACAGATAGAACTACTAGGTTTGCCAAGTTGAGCAACATTAAAGTTTATTTGTGTGCTTATGCATACGTCATTATTTAATTTGTTTTGGTTGTTAAAAGTATTTTTACGAACCATGCTCTTAAAAAATTATGAATTTTAGTTTATAAGTTTTTGTTTATAAACCAGTGGTTGTGGAGACATATCCCTTTAAGGAAAATCTTTGTGAATGTAGAGTTATTACATAATTATTTACATCAATCTTTCAATGTTTGTACAAGATCAAGTACAACATGACAGTGACTACCACAACGAAGCCAAAGTTGGAACGTCAACAACAGTAATGGAGAAAAACAATGTCCGAGAGTGAGTTTGGCAAATTGTAATGTACGTTCCGCCGCCGCTCATAATTGGAATGGCTCTGTTTTCGGCTTGTGTGAAATACGGCTCTGCTGTGTGGGTCAGTGTTATACACTCGAGGGATTTCAATTTCTACTGTGGATTGTCTCTGAACTAAGGACGAGTGAAATAACTGTGAAGAAACGAGCAATATTTGCCGGGATAAAACACATGCAACAAAAATATTTAAAACAAACTTACTAGTGGTGTCTATTTTAAGTTTTTTTACTGGTCTTTGTCCGGATGAAAAAAGGAATAGATATTTATTGAAAATTTCTAAAGCTTTCAGTGCATTGCAAAGATCTGACAGGGGGTTTGATCAACATAAAAAAGTTGAAATCCAAACAATAATAATAAATAGGTGTCTATGTTTGGAAAAATACTAAACTGACACTCTAATAATTCAACACCAAAATATTAATAATGTCATTTAGGTTTTCGTCAAAAAAGTCAATTTAAATATGAATATTTTTTTCTTGGTATTATTGTACTAATTGCGAGGTGAGTATCACAGCAATTATATTAATTGCCACTACAAATGTACACAATGTGAATACCCAACAAAACTTAAGCCGTTGATTACAAATAGCATGTACACTAGCATCTATTACGCTCTATAGACGAACATGTTATCCAACAAAGAAACGGACCGATCACGTAGTATCATCCTTATACAGGGTGTTCATTTGAAAACTTTCCATATCTGTTGTGTGCAAAGGTAAGGCTTTTAACACTTGTTTGTTCTCATTTCCCCCTAATTTGGACATGCCAAATCCAATAAAATTATTTTCAATTTTGAAAAATGCCCCAAAAGGGCCCAATTTGGGGGGTAGGGGTGCTTTTTGAGAAATTTTCAAATGTAAACATGGGTTGTGTGATGCATCAATTTAAAGGTCTAATCACCCCGATCATTTTGGTGCAAAAAAAGTTTAATTATCTTTAACCGTATTTACAGGGTGGGTCAAAACGTTTTAAAAAAGGACTTTGAAGTTAAGTACCGTATTACCCTAACTACTGAACGGAACAGCGCCAAATTTCTTTCCAAGCTTATTCTTGAGCTACTCTTTAAGATAACTTGTAGTAAGGGCATTTTCCAAGTTATTTTCTAATTTTTAAAAAATCTCAAATTTTAAGAATAAAAAAAAGCTGAAAACTCAAAATTCTTAAATAGCAAGGTATAACAAATTTCATACCACGTGAAAGGTCCTTTTTTAACAAACATTTTACTAAATAACTTCTTGATCAGCATTGTACGTGTTATTAAATTTACGGAAAGTAAATAAAAAAAACGTCTTATAACACTTAAAACATATATTTACGCTTATACTGTTACTCACAAGACGGTAAATATACAAAAACGATGGTAAATGGTGATCGATTTCGATTGGACACTCCAATCATCATCAGACCCAATAGGCGAAACCTATTGGGATTCGCCTATTGGGTCTGATGATGATTGGAGTGTCCAATCGAAATCGATCACCACTTACCATCGTTTTTGTATATTTACCGTCTTGTGAGTAACAGTATAAGCGTAAATATATGTTTTAAGTGTTATAAAACGTTTCTTTTATTTACTTTCCGTAAACATTTTACGTATTTAAGTTTTCTTTATATCTCTTACTGTTTAAATATTGCAGTGGAAAAACATAATTTTCCATGGTAAAATTATAACTAGTTTTCTAATAAAACACATTGCACTTTGTTCAACGATCTAGTAGGATTCATAACAAATTGATCGACTACTTTTACGTGTGTCAGAATTCATCTTGGACCCTTCATCCTGTTCTTTTCTCATTGGTAACTGAGCCAGTTTCAGAAAACTTCCTAACTAAATCATTTACAGCCATATGACTCAAGGTTATACCTGGATATCTATTGTTAAACACTTTGCAGTTATCCTGGAACACTTTTGTTATGACCAATAAGTAAAATAAAGTATATTTTTTTAAGTTTACACCATATTTGATTAGGTACTACAGGAAATGGTACTTTTGAAATTAGTACTACCATTGACTAGTCAATGGTACTACAGAAAGCGGCCCACGCTTGGGTTTTTCTCATCAGCTATAAAACTTGTTTCTCACAAAGTAAAACGTAATGACTTGTTTGCCTATCTCCCTAAAAATAATTATGAATCGTTTCCTTCAGTTATTGCACCATTTAATGTGTCTAGAGACGAATTTTGGCTGTTTTATTAGAAAACTAGTTACAATTTTACCATGGAAAATTATGTTTTTCTACTGCAATTTTTAAACGGTAAGAGATAGAAAGAAAACTTAAATACGTAAAATGTTTGTTAAAAAAGGACCTTTCACGTGGTATGAAATTTGTTATACCTTGCTATTTAAGAATTTTGAGTTTTCAGCTTTCTTTTATTCTTAAAATTTGAGATTTTTTAAAAATTAGAAAATAACTTGGAAAATGCCCTTACTACAAGTTATCTTAAAGAGTAGCTCAAGAATAAGCTTGGAAAGAAATTTGGCGCTGTTCCGTTCAGTAGTTAGGGTAATACGGTACTTAACTTCAAAGTCCTTTTTTAAAACGTTTTGACCCACCCTGTAAATACGGTTAAAGATAATTAAACTTTTTTTGCACCAAAATGATCGGGGTGATTAGACCTTTAAATTGATGTATCACACAACCCATGTTTACATTTGAAAATTTCTCAAAAAGCACCCCTACCCCCCAAATTGGGCCCTTTTGGGGCATTTTTCAAAATTGAAAATAATTTATTGGATTTGGCATGTCCAAATTAGGGGGAAATGAGAACAAACAAGTGTTAAAAGCCTTACCTTTGCACACAACAGATATGGAAAGTTTTCAAATGAACACCCTGTATATACTACGTGAAGCCGATTTCTACGAAACACTACTCCTCCGTTAATAATAGACGGATTTTTACAAACGACGTGTCAAAATAAAGTATTTTTTGTGTAGAGGCCCCCTTTCACCAATTTCTGTAAAAAAAATCCTTGGGCTTTGCCCCACAGGCCATCAAAGTTGGAGTTTCTCCCATAAGATTAACATGGGGGAATCTAAATATTTAATTGGAAACTTTGTCCCCACTAATTTGAGAGAACGGCTGGGCGTAGAAACTTGGTAGAGGTGTCCAAAGAAAGGTCTTGGTCCGTAGATGAGTTATCAAAAGAAAAACTTAGCAAAATCCCTTAGGACTCTGCCTCAGAAGCCTTTAAAGATCCCTCCATAAATAGAGTTGTTTACATTTTGGCCATGTGAATATTACTTTTTAATGAAACAGCTGTTCATTTTTAAATTGTATTTCAAACAACGCACATTTATTGGGAGTTACTGAATTCTACCAAATAAGTATTTGCAATGTTATTTTCTGATTTTAAAATTGATTTTCTTCTTTACCATTTCATTTTTTGCAATATAACGTTCCATTACAAAATCAGTGGAAAATCCTTTTATCACAGCAATTATTAAATTATTTCTTATTTAACTATCTTATATCTATTGTACGGGTTGGCGTCTACCTTATTCACCAATTTTTCCTAAATTTTATCATATTATTCTACACATTTGGTCAAATATTTATGTAGAAATAACTTATCTGCTCTTATTGTGTCCAATAAAATCCAACTACAAAAGATCCACCAAGACGATTTTAACTTAATACTATTTAAAGGTTCTTCCAAAGGAAGATATACCGTATAACATACTAATAATAACTCCGATGACGTACGGTATGGGGAATATTTTATTCATTGAATAATTAACCAAATTTAGCAACTAACGCAATTAATATCATTATTGTTTTTGCACTTATTACTCTTTAAACAATGCTAAATACTCAAAATATGTATATTTCACCCAATTTATCACAGTTTGATGAATTAACGCAAGCCTTGAAAGTAACCGTCGATTTCGACGGGTTTTACCTAGTAAACATAAAATAGCCAAGTAACAAAACAGTTAACATTGTAGTCATCGTTAACACTATACACATTAATTGCGTCCTTCTAAAACTGTTTGCATCTTAACTGTGCAGTCAAACCTCTATAAGACGAACTTCAAGGGGTAGAGGAATTCGTATTATCGAGGTATTCTTAATAAAGAGGTTCGTATTTTCGAGGTATTTATAATAAATGGGTCCGTTTTATCGAGGTTTAGTACTGCGTTATTCGTCTTATAAACGTTTCTCTATTGCACTGGCACGTACCAGAAAATGACTGAGGAAGGCAGACGGATCAGTGAAGGTTCATGTTGAGACAAGCTTAATTTGGTTTTGAAAACTACTTACTTTGGAGGATAAGATCATGAACAATTGGTCTTATAGAGTTCGCAATCGTCTTTTAGAGGTTTTGTAATAAGAATATTCGTTGTATATATGTTAATAAGTCCTAGCATATGCAAACAAATTCGTCTTATGGAGGTTTTTAACCCAATTACTACGTTGTATAAAGGTGTTTTTAACATTAACCTTTATGAAAGTTTCAAGGGATTAATCAAATCTTCTTATCGAGGAATTCGTTTTACCGAGGTTTGACTGTTGTATATTTAACCGCAATACTTGTCCAGGAGCCCCAACACCGGCCACGACACTGAAGTTCCTAGACTAGAGCGGCAGAGAGGGAAGATGTTAGAGTGGCAGACTTACGACAAGGTCCACAAGCGGTACCTCAACTTGGGTAAGTGTTGTAACCAACAATTTGTGCAAATACACACTGATGCATGTTTCTGTAATTTACAGCGGTAACAACATCCGGATGTGGGTTCTACAAACAGTCGTACCTCAGTCAAACCCGTTGACGATAAAAATAAAAATTATAAATAAAGATTACGCAGATTAATTTCAAAACATAAAATAATATCTAAGTATTCTTAGGTCGCTCCCATAGAATATTTGATTGCAATACAGTTTTTAATGATTTAAAAAAATTTTCTGTTAATTTACATGTACACAAAAAGTAGGTGAACATATGGTAACTGAAATGTCTCTTTTATCCAGACATGAAGCCCAAGATGAAGAACCACTACCGCGCGCATCGTCTGTCGTTCTGGCTCAACTTGGTGCCTGATCTACACAGACCTGGAGGTGACGTTCCTCACTCTCATCATCAGCTGGACCCTGACGAGCGTCCGCGGCTGGTGGACAAGGTAAACTACGTCATCACGATATGGCATGTCATCATTGGGGAAATGACCCATAACGTAGGGTTACTTTCGTTTTCTGCCTCGTCAAATCTTAGGGTTCATGTTTAGAAAAAAAACCAGTTTGGAGGTATCAAAAATTGTGGTATGATCATAGTACTAAGGTATCTATTCAGTGATGTGTTAAAAACATATCCATTCGTTATATTTGGACAGGTTAACACGCTCCCTGCCGACCGCCACACTCCTCTGTAACTGGGGGATAAGCATAGTTGGTAGTAATGTGTTAACAAACTTTATGGTTTTGGAATTAAAAAAGTCTTCGTAAGAGCATAATTCAAAAATAATAATATAAATCATTCCCTAGATTTCGATGGTTTAAAAAAACTTTATGGTTTTTGTGATGGGTAAAACCAATTATGAATGGAAACAATAATATTTTAGTTATGTGTAGATAATCTACAGCAAAATTGTGTTTTAGTGAAAGAAAACCTCAACTTTAATTGAACCACTGAATATTACAACAAAAGTTACATGAGAAATTTTTAAGGTTGGATTAGTGGTATTGTCATTGGAAGGTATAAATTGAAGGTCATTGGTATTTGGATGAGCGAACAACAAATTTCCCCGTTACATAAAGTTTACTAAAACTTATGAGGTGTCCTAGGTTGTAACGCCTCCACCGTCCAGACCTCCACCAGCCCCCAGTGACCCTGACGTCCCTCTCTCCCCGCCACCTGTCGTGGTAGCGTCCTCCGCCTCCAAGGGGTCCACCCAAGGTCACCGCCCCTCGCATTTCACCGCGCCCACCGCTCTGCGCGCCACCGTCGCCGTGGGTGGCATTCTGCTGGTGCTCAACATCATCGTGTTCCTCGTCTTCTACCGCAGAGGTCGGGGAGTGAAGTACAAGAGAAGATCCTCCTCTAGTGCGTCTGGCGATAAGATGGAGAACGGCGGACCAATGTCTACCATCTGTGTCACCTCTGGTAGGTTGAACGTGGGACAACATATATAAACATAAAAACGATGTAACCTTTTCTTATTGTCAGTATTATATTGAAGACCAAAAGTATATCCAAACACATTGAAAGAGTGTGATGCTGTTTTTTTTTATTACAACACGTGTCATATCACCTATCACAATAGGTTGAATTGTTAATAAAGCAAATCAAATTTAGAGGATGGATAAAAGCCCCGAAACAGTTAAAATTTCAACTAATAATAAAGTTAGAGATACAAAAAAAAAACTTGTTGAAAAGTAACAGGGAATAAAAATAATTTTGATACATTATTCAGTGATACGCTACCCCTTAAGAGAAACTGCACCGCTAGGAGTCTGAGGAAAATCTTAAACGTTAGGTTCATATGCACATCGAACTGAATGTATTTACTAGAAAAATTCAATGCCACAAATTTGAACTCAAACAGAGAACAGAGTTGAAAATTGTAGCCATCAAACGATTTCTTGAATCCGTCATTTTGAATCTTTGAACTAAGAACTACAAACTTTCATTCTTTCACTACCATAAGTACTGATACCATACACTGACGACTTAGTTATAAAATAATACCGTTAAACAGTGTCATTACTCCTGGAAGCTAAATCTCAATCCACGTTCAATCTGAATTACAAAAGTTGGTGAATCAACATAAAATCATATTTGTTAGTGAAGATCTAAAACACAAAACATTCACGTGGGGCCCACCTTGAGCTGGATTTTTACCTTACCAGAAAGTATATAAAGTCTCACAGGCAAGGAAAACATTCTATTGAAAAGATCCCTCAACTTGAATATGTTGTCACCATTAGGGTGATTGGTGGTACAACAGGCAATTGTTAATTCATTTGTGGTGATAGGTGCTACAGATTTGTCATCAGTTGAGACCAGACTCACCTTCACTCCAGTGCTGAGTGATTCTCTCACAGACTTGAGAAGCTTCACTCTCCCAGCGCCTGAAGCATTCCAGGGTGAGTGGTGATCAAATATTGTCAAACACTCAATATCCGTTGCCATCAAGAGTTTATTTGGTGTAAACATTATATTGAGGATTTATTGACTTCTTAGTGGCACCACATAAAAAATTAGAATATTCTATACATAACACAAATAGTAAAAGATTAAAACTAATTTACTGCTCCAAAGTTGATGAAAATTGATCACACATATACCAGAACACCAATTAAAATTTATTTTCAATGAAATAATAAAACCTCTAGATGATGCATGCTGAAAACTTAATATGTTTATTTCAATCAAAACAAATAGTTTTCTTACATTTCAAGATAATTCAGTGTTTATAAATAAGACTGTGTGTTAAAAAATGTTTCATTTCAAACATTCATAGTTTTAAGTATGTAAAAATGGCACTCCAAAAAATGTACCTAAGCTTTTAATTAGAGCACATACTATGTTGAACAACGTTATTACCTGTCGCTCATACTTTGAGTGACTGTTTTATAACAATGCTTAATTCAACAGGTCCACTGACACCCGAATCACCAGAGATCTTTCTGGAACCACCGGAAGTTCCAGAGATACCGGATGTGGCTCCTCCACTGCCACCCAAGACATCCAAGACGAAGACGCCCGGGGCCAACGAGACACTGCCCCTGTTATCTGATGGTCTTATCACAGATCTGGGCCAAGGTCAAGGCCAAGGTCGCGAGGAGATACTGAGAGTATAGCGGGCGACGTTTAGGAATGTGAAAATCTCAATTCAATTGTTATTATGATTTGTTATTTTTATGAATTAACATACTAGAACATAAATTTTTGGAAATAATTTAAATGTGTTAATTAAGAGAATAATTTTCTTAAAAAAATTATGTATTCACTTTAAATAGAGTTGTTTTGGTAAATGCCCATTCATGTGTTCCAAGTTATTGACCTAAAAATTGACAATTATTTAGTACTTTTTGGTGAGGATTGTTATCATAATGTTTAGTTTATAAGCCCTAGTGCTATGTAACATAGATTAAATAGAATGCACTTAACATTGTTTGCAATAAGAAATTTGAAATGTACATAATAATTATCATTTGTACAAAAAAACAATTTTTATTAATAAAGTGTACAAATTGAATTTTTTATTTTTCCACCTACTAGTGAACCTAAATTTTAAGGGCAGTTAAGTAATGATTCTCTTTTGTTGGACGTTTTTGTGAAACTTGTTGAGGAAAGCTAGGAGTGACACAAATTTAAATGTTTGTATGTAAATCTTCCGAACATTTCTGATATGTCATTATTTTATCATATAAAACCTGATTAAAACACAACTATGATTATAATATGTATAAAAAATAATTTTCTTTACAAAATATATCATTTGTCAAACTTTTAGTCAACCTCATACATATAGGTATATATAAAGAATCCCAAAAAAAGTTAAAACTCAACCCGGATTTATAAAAAAAATATAGTTAGAGTATTACAATGCATGTTTCTATTTAAATGAAAAAGCCCTGGATTGCAGATGTAAGTAAATAAAAGACACGTGCTACAGCTTGAATTAAATCAGATAAAAGTTTTAATTGGGTCTGCTGAATGCACGATTCTGCTGAGTAAGGTTTATACCATGAAATAATAAAATATCAAGCAAAAGTTTCGCTGACTTCTTTTATCTAATTCTTTCCCATAACAAAAGGAAACAGATTTTGTCAAACTACATTATTCTATGTTAAGTACATTTTTGTATGAAGGTGATATATTTACACACTATGTTTCCACCTTCGGACGAATTGGAATTTTGGGGATTGCTAGGACTGCGTATACAATTCTAACGTTAATAAAGAGGATTTTATTTTACAATTTTAAAATGATATAAAATAATGGTAGTTATCATTGTAGCCAATTTATATCACTTGTACTTTTAGCGAATTTCCCTATAGGGAAGTAGCTATTACCGTAGGTCTCATGGTAAGACTTAGGCCCGGGACCGATTTACTTTTTCATTTTAATGTCCCCAGAGGCCAAAAACACCATTCGTTCAAATTTTTATATATGTATATATATAAAGGTATATATATATAGATTTATATATATATATATGTGTCCGTGAACACGATAACTTGAGTAATTTTTATCCGATTTTGATGAAATTTGGTTTGAAGGTGTAAGGCGGGATAAACTTGAATGAGTTCGCGATCCAGCATGATCGGACCATGGGAACAGGGTTTTATGGGGGGTTTTATGGGGTAAAAATTGGTTTTTCTCACTTTTTACCCTCAAAACACAAAATTTCCCAATTTTTCTCTAAACCTTCTTAATGAGCTTAAAAAAAAACAATTCAGTATATCAAAGTGTTTTTGTACGGTTATTGGTTACGGAGAAAACTAAAAAAATGGGAGATTTAAAATTCCCATGTTATCCTTATGGAGAATATTGTAAAATGTTGTAGTTTGCTTGTTTACGGATATTTTTTGATCAAACTTGGCAAATTTATTTATTTTATAGTAAGCTATCAATATTTTACAAAAAACACACTACTTTATTAGTTTCCTTGTAGCAGCAAACCTAGGTACTCGTTAAACCTAATAATGTTATTTAAATAGATCAATTGAAAATCAATTCGGCCAAATGGAAATTCGCTTAGACGGCAGGTTTGCTGCGGCGGGGGTATTATAATATTTAGTGTTCAAAAATAATTACGGGCATATGACCACGGCAGGCTCGAAGGATTTGCAATCAGGAAGAAAACAACAGTGTTTAATTCCAGAAATAGTTTTTGAACACCGAATGGCAAACAAATTCTAACGAGATAAATTTAATACCAAGGTAATTAACAAAGGGTAATTTTGTACATTATATCAACGAAATAGATATGCTCTACCTTAAATTAAAAAAGCTAAATTAATATTTTGTATCCGTCTTTCCATTTCATAAATGTATAATAATTGTCTTCGCCCCAAGCTAGAAGTATAGTAATGAAATATGTGAAGTAAAGTTAGATTTAAAACGCAACAGTGTGATTTTCAAAGTAGCCTATTCTACATTTCAGGCGTCTCATGAGTGAATTCAAATTTTGACACAATGGTGTTTGTCTAATCTCTTAATGGGAAAAATCAAATAACCATTAGTTGAGTTAATTCCTACTTACTTTTTAAAATAGTCATCATTTTGGTAAATCTTATTTATCGATGAATGTTTTTTTTGTTTTCTTCAAGAAGTTATGAACTAATAATTATTAAGATTGATTAAGCTTTTGTCTTCATGACAACTTTTTTTAAACATCAGTGACACACGAGTTTCAATAAATTTAACTCTCTTAACTACACGAATACTTGTAATAATGTCCACTGAATAACACTATTGCCTGTTTACCAAACGTATACACTAATGCACATTGGATCTCCACAAACAGAGTCAAGACTCGACTGGAAGGGAATTAAGAGTAATGTAAGACTCCCCAACAATTAATCATCAACAGCTGATTGAGCACAGGTGTGCCAACCTACTGTCTTAAATCAAACATGAACTTATCATACCAAGAGGTAAGATGATTCGCACCTTAGACTTTATATATACTTATTTTAAAGTTTAAATAATTTTTAATTTAATTTAATATATTTTATACGTTGTAATGACAAACTGGTTTTAATTAAATACACTAATATTCAATCATACAAAAAAAATATATCTAATTTAAGGATCTCATGTTAATATATGGGCAAATACAAATGGCAACCTAGTAAGATGCATTTTACTAGTTTCGGTCTTATAAAAAATGCACGAACAATGTCAGCACATCTCTATAGTCGCACGCGACAAATATGAAGTAAACCACATTCTTAATTGTTACACAGAGAAAACTAACATTCAACAAATTAACTTTTTATCTTTATTAGTCTATAAAAAATGGAAATCACCAAAAATCAAAGGTAATTTTATAAAATATAGTATTTTAATTGAGCCAAATTAAACATGAAGAAATCACAAATTAAGATTGTATTTAGTATTATTCTGTAGATTGTATTTAGTATTATTCTGTAGATTGTAAGTTTTGAGAGCACGTATCCAATAGACATCCGTACACGAATGATATTTGATCTTGGATTTGATTTCATTCAACATTAACTAGGTTACAGCGAATAGTCTTCACCAGGGACTTTCCCGTTTTCTATTCCTTTCCTTCTTCTTCCCTCCTTTTCCTTCTTCGTTTCCCTACATCCGTCTCCCTGTAAATTATATCGTTCTAGCGACTATACGAAAATATATTTGTTAAATACGCCAATAATATCTAAGCAAATGATATAGAATTGATAATCTACAAGGGTTGTTATTTAAAGATTATGAATACAATTTGGTCAGTTTAAAAGGTGTTCACAATCTTTTACGACAATTGCTTGAGGGAATACAAATTTTTATGTACTTAGTTTATGAAAATTCATGTTGCAACAAAATCTTTCATACTAATAACATAGTAAAAAAGGAAAATGGTAAAATATTATATAGTGTCCCTGTTGCTCGAATTCGAGAAATTGATAAGTATTCCAGTCGTTATTTTAAAACCAATAACAGTAATAATTTCTGATGACTTGGAAAGAGTCGAGACTATGGACATACTCAAGATGTACATAACAGATTGATATAATCAACATTTCTTGTAAATATCTAAAAATTGTTTCAAAACCTGATCTCCTTTTTTAGTGTTTTCTACAAATAGCCTTACTCATAAACGCATTAGGTTGTCCATAATAAGGATTATAAATAAAAAAATTAAGAAAACATTATTTCTATTTCTTCTCCTTGGTGGTGTTCTATGACTTTCCTATGTTTCCATATTTTACAAATAGGCTAATTCAATGATTGCTAAGAAATGCAGGACAGCGTTAATTCAGTTTTCTTTTTAGTACCGTATATGAATTTATCCGGGAACTCTCACTTTTTTCCATTGTAATATTTACGCCAACCCAAATTCAAATAGTAAATATTTAATTTCAACCAAGTAAGTAAATGTTTGTAGCATACTGTTAAATAAGCAATCTTTTGACTGTTTACAATTGACATCTATTTTTCTTCTCACTTTTAATTCATGCCAACAGCTGGAGTTTCATAACAATGTTCGTTTCCCATGTCTATCCCATGGAGATATACGAAACTTTAAAGGGCCCCAGGGCTTCACTCTCTATATATTTCCCTAAAAAGATAGTTTCCTGCACAACTTCACGTTACCGGTACGCTCTTTCCAATGACATCAAACACATGTCAATCGGTTCAGTAGTTTCGGAGGAGTAATTGTCACAAAAAACCTGATTGCGTATTAAATAAGTATAGATAATAATATATATATAGATAGATAAATTAATCCCGTGAATGTTAATTAGGCCTATCATTACTTCTAAACAAAGAATATAAACAGTACAGTTAACAAACAAATCGTAACAACTCCCTGATTTTGTTTCAAGAACCAAAAAATGTAAGTGTGTATGCTGATGAAACTTCGTTGCTTTTGTCTATTTTTTACTACAGTATCTCATGTGGAGAATAGTTCTCATTATTTCATGGTGCGAGACATTATGTGTTGATTTAAAAAAAAATATTCTTTCAGCCACCATAGTTGTATTGGCAATACGTTTATCTATTTGGAAAATAATATACATGGTTAACCCGCATTTTATTATAACTGTTCATCCTTCTATGTAATTCAAGAATCTGAAAGCCTCAAGAATATTTGCTCATACTTTTGACAAACCCAACGTTGACGAAGTAGATAGAGAAGAATCACGTACGAATGTCAGGAAGGGTCAGAATTATATTTGGTCCTAACTGAATGTAACG